CGTTGACTGTCCAGCTGCAGGTGGAGAGGATGGAATGGAGGGCAGGTTGGCGCCATTTCTTTCTGCAGTCCTCACTGTAAATTATAGTCTGTTCCCTATGCTGTTAAATGGCTGAACCAAACCAAACACTGATGCACAAGCATGGGAACAGACCGCATGATTTTAGATTGAATTTGCATCAGTATAAAAAAAGCATAATGCTGAAGGCCGGGCACTGAATTAAATATTTTCCATCTCCTGAATAATTGACATAAGCACAACCAATTTCCCTCCTTTCAATTATACAGTGTAGTGGTCAGTTCGGAGGTCAGTCCCCTGTATTGGTAAGCTTTTTATCCCTAGAGAAACTGTTGTTGGGTTGTCACATGACTATCATAACTTAATTCATTTAATCTTAACCACTTTAAAAACATGGTTTGGATGCAGTGACTACAATTGTGAGCTATTCACTTTTGGTTTACCTTTGGCAACCAATTATTTTCTTGCTTTTTGCGAGTAGATTATGTCTTCTGTTGACTTTTGAAGAGTCGTTAGTGAAAGCCATTAGGTGTCTTCACTGATTAAGGATGATTACCTAATGTTGTCATGCATAATGGCGCATTTCCACTACACAGCCTCGCTCTGCCTCGCTCGGTATGGCTAGGCCTCGTTAGGCCTTGTTAGGACCAGCTCACTTTATGCTGCGTTTCCATTACAGTTTAGGAACTGGGGTAGTAACTATAGTAACGCAGTGTAGGCGGAGCCGTGACGTCATCTTCAATGAGAACCCCAGAAAAACAACACAGCCGTTAGCTGTTAGAACTCAAGCTCACAGCTCCTCATATCTGTTCAGAAACTAGACAAAAGTTAAACAAGTACAAACCACAGACTGTCTGTGTCATGGCGAATACAGTCGCTGGTTTATTTATGTCTGTATAGGCCGTTGTTGTGAGTGTGGACGGTCGGAGCATACACTGCGTTAGCTTAGCCGATCTCCATTAGACAACACGCATTTTAAAAGGTTTTTCGCCTGCCGTCTGTCTGCAGACTTGTCAAAGCATTAATTCATGGTTTTTACTAACCGGTATCAGTATGTTGTTACTTCGGCATCATTTTGAAACGTGTATTACAATTAAATCACGGTCAAATATGTTCATTTTGTTGTAGTTGTAGCCCCCTTGCCAGCGATTCTCTCTCTAGTTTAGCATACTCAGCCCGACTCAGCCTGGTTGTTCCTGGCCCTAGAACCACGATTTTATGGGGCCAGAAAAACTGTGAATAAGGACCCGCTAGCCGGTACTAGGCCAAGTGGAAACGCAACCAAAAACGGGCCGCTGACGTCACAGCTCTCTTAAACGGGGCTCCGCGCTGCAGTGGAAATGCACCATAAATGGTCTAATGGTCATTGGAGCGAGGGGCGGGGCGAAACTCACGGAAGTGATTTCAAAACAAAAGCACTCGTTTGCTAAAATCACGCTTTGAATCACTACAGTATCCTGCTGAAGGAACGGTGATTATTATAAACAAGGGGAATTTAGCGATCACAATGAAAACGGCCAAGACACATATTGAACCCAGAAAATTGATGTTATTAAGGGCTGTAAATATAATAAGCCTATGTCTAAAATGTACAACATTGTTAGGAGATTTAAACTATACAGCGATTCTGCACTGCGGTCAACTCAGCCGCCTCTCGAGTTAGCTGCTCTTCATTATTCCTGCTATATTTGACGAGTGATACAAATATTTTTTACCACAAGTTCTTAAGGAAACTGACACTCTTGGACTCGGTACTAGTTTGACTTCTACCAGAAATAAAATGAAGTACTTTTACTGTGTACTATTGTGAGTAATCCTCTGTCAAAGTACCCTCCATAATGCATGTTTTTCTGCTATCTTTGATGAATGATAAAAATATAATTTTACCATTAGTTCTTAATGAAATTGATACTGTTTGACTTTGTATTAGTTAGCCTACTACTAACAATACATTGAAGTACTTTTACTGTGTATTTTTTGAGAAATACTCTGTCAAAGTCCCCTGCTGAGAACAAAATCAAGCCACTTCTGCTAAGTTTGATGAGGGAATTCTTTTTTGTTGCCATTAGTTCTTCGTGAGATTGATCCTGTACTATGAAGTACTTACTGTGTACTTTTCCAGTACTCCTCTGTCAATGTCCCCTCCTGAGAACAAGAATGCATGTTTCTCTGCTATTTTGAATAAGCGTTAAAAAACCTTTCTTCATGAGACTTATATTGTTGGACAGAGTATTTTAAGAGGATATGGTGAACATGATATCAGCAATACTTCCAGTCAGTACTCCGGCAGCAGCATTTTACACCTTGGAAAGTCTTTAGAGTCTGGCCTGGATAGCTGGTCTATCCTTCAGCACACTGACACACTCTGTCACTCTGGTTGGCCTCTTATGATGCTGCTGTCTTTTAATTTATGATTATTTCTCAGCCGCTAGTTCGTTCCTCGCAGATTCTTCAGTCTCATCAGCCTCATCCTTCCATCAGTCCCAGTCAACGCCTCCAGCACACTTCCAGTGTCTGACTCCATATGATATTGTCCTGATGCTGTAAGGGTGTGATGCCCCATGATCACAAAATGACCCCTCTAGAGTCTGAGTGCCAAGGACCTCATATTATGTATGTCATTAATGTTACATCACCCATTATAACAATTTGCTTTCCTTTTCTCTCTTCTCTTAACTGAATAGCCCTGTCTTTAAGTATAATACAATGTAAAGTCCTTTTCCTGCACCATTTTAAGGCTTCAAAACAGGCATTTTTACTGTGTGTTTTTGGAGAAATTACACAATAAATGGCCAAGAATTGTACTTTATAAACTCTGAATCTTGTGGTGCTTGAAGAAATACACTGGCTAAGCCGGCCAGGTTATATGCCTTTTTTGGAGCCCTTTTTTGCAATATTTATTCAAATGTCACTAGTTATTTAAACAAACCACTATCTGAGGATTATACAAGCAACCATAAAACACCCGTTAGAGAGCCATTGAAGCCCATGAATAATGTATCCTTCCACAAATCTTTTCAACTGCTTTATTAATAAAGTTGCCACATGTTTTCAAATTTAAAGGGGACCTATCATGCAAAATGCACCTTTGTACGTCTTTTATACATGAATATGTGTCCCCGGTGTGTCAGGGAACTCACCAAGAGTCAGAAAACACAACCCTCTCTTTTTTCCTCCATATCCAAATCTCTAAAAACGGGGCTGCAACGGATCTGATACAGACTGATACAGATTTGAACACTTTACTGACATCAGGACGGTGGCGCTACGGCTATTGGGCCAACTCCACCAATCAGGAGGAGACAGCCACGGCCATTGCCGTTCGAAAGCGCTGGAGACGCTGTAGTACATATGCTAGGCCTGTAGGTGGTGCTGTTCTCACAGAATCAGCCCTTGCAAAAACAGGGCTAAAAAAGTGCAAATTGAGCGAAGTGAGGCATGGCTAAAATGCATGATCTGTTTGGTATTTTGAAAAAAAAAAAGTATAAATATGCCTTATATAGGTATGGTCCTACACTATATTATTCAAATATAGCATGATAGGTCCACTTTAAGTTAAGGCACTATCTAGGTATTTTTTTTTAAAAGTGTTCAGAAAGACTGCATCAATGATATGCTATATATATATATATATATATATATATATATATATATATATATATATATAATATCAATATTTTTATTAACTAAACAAAGTCAATTTAAATAGCGGGCAAAAATGGGTTAATTGCCATGGATGTGGTGTTTGATATAGTTTACGTTCAATTTCAACTACTGTATTTTAGGCAGAAAAACGTATATTGACTAAACCTTTTTTAATAATTTACTATAATTTAGAAAGGTTTTTGTGAGAAATCATTTCAAAAGTAAACTTTTTTTTCATTTCATATTTAAATTTGAAATGTTTGCACACAACATTATTAAAGGTAGGGTAGGTAAGTTTGAGAAACCGGCTCGAGATCGCTAGAATTTGAAAATACACAACCGGAGAAAATCTGCCACTTCCTTATAGAGCCCCTCCTCCAACACACACGAATGTGCACATGACCAATGAGGGCACGAGATAAGTTTGTGCCCCGATGGAAGGCTGACAGGCAGGTAGGCCATCCAGTTATTTTAGCCGGGCCGGCTAAAATGATTGGTCGTACTTTTTACAGTATTACGGCTTCCACAGATGACATTTTTTTATGGATTTTTTGTCAAAGCACTTAAGATATTCATTGCTATCGGGATGTTAAGAGCATTCCATGGAATATAACAAAAAGTGTATCTCGAGCCGGTTTCTCAAACTTACCTACCCTACCTTTAAAGGTGGGGTAGGTAAGTTTGAGAAACCAGCTCGAGATCGCTAGAATTTGAAAATACACAACCGGAGAAAATCTGCCACTTCCTTACAGAGCCCCTCCTCCAACACACACAAACGCGCACATGACCAATGAGGGCACGAGATAAGTTTGTGCACAGATGGAAGGCTGACAGGCAGGTAGGCCACCCAGTTATTTTAGCCGGGCCGGCTGAACTTTTTTTATGGATTTTTTGTCAAAGCACTTAAGATATTCATTGCTATCGGGATGTTAAGAGCATTCCATGGAATATAACAAAAAGTGTATCTCGAGCCGGTTTCTCAAACTTACCTACCCCACCTTTAAGTGCAGATTTGTAACTTGATATGTTTAAATTCACATTGCATTTTTCAACTGTGCAGGACACTGTTGCATGTGTCCACCAGGTTTAAGAGAAGGAAAGAAAATAACCAAGATAATGTGAACTTGAATAATGAATCATAATTTTCTAGCAAAATGTATTGACTGGCTACTACTGCCAACATACATCAGTTTTAAGTTTGTATCTACTTTTTGCTAGCACAGCTATTGCTAGGCTTTTGTTTAAAAAGCGGCAAAGCAATCACAAAGATATCACTATCATCATATTGTATAAATGCTTCTCTCTGTGAATCACTGTTAATGATATAACATTATTTTTCTTCCAGGTTTGGGAGGAAGAAGGTGGTTTTCATCTCTCTCGTGGCCCAGAGTGTGGCAGTCATGCTTCAGTCCTTCTCTCATTCATGGCAGATGTTCTGCGTCATGTTCCTCTTTGTCGGAGCCTCACAGATTTCCCTCTATATTTCTGCGTTTGTGCTAGGTAAGAATCGTAAAATGATCCTCCTCCTATGTTTGATCTTTGATGTAGAAATGATTGTGCCTTGTGCATGAAAGGTGGGGTAGGTAATTTTGGAGAAACCAGCTCGAGTGCGCTAGAATTTGAAAATACACAGCCGGAAGAAATCTGCTACTTCCTTACAGAGCCCCTCCTCCAACACACACGAGCGTGCACATGACCAATGAGGGCACGAGATAAGTTTGTGCACAGATGGAAGGCTGACAGGCAGGTAGGCTATCCAGTTATTTTAGCCGGGCCGGCTAAAATGATTGGTCGTGCTTTTTACAGTACTACGGCTTCCACAGATGACATTTTTTTATGGATTTTTTGTCAAAGCACTTAAGATATTCATTGCTATCGGGATGTTAAGAGCATTCCATGGAATATAACAAAAAGTGTATCTCGAGCCGGTTTCTCAAACTTACCTACCCCACCTTTAAGTGCAGATTTGTAACTTGATATGTTTAAATTCACATTGCATTTTTCAACTGTGCAGGACACTGTTGCATGTGTCCACCAGGTTTAAGAGAAGGAAAGAAAATAACCAAGATAATGTGAACTTGAATAATGAATCATACTTTTCTAGCAAAATGTATTGACTGGCTACTACCGCCAACATACATCAGTTTTAAGTTTGTATCTACTTTTTGCTAGCACAGCTATTGCTAGGCTTTTGTTTAAAAAGCGACAAAGCAATCACAAAGATATCACTATCATCATATTGTATAAATGCTTCTCTCTGTGAATCACTGTTAATGATATAACATTATTTTTCTTCCAGGTTTGGGAGGAAGAAGGTGGTTTTCATCTCTCTCGTGGCCCAGAGTGTGGCAGTCATGCTTCAGTCCTTCTCTCATTCATGGCAGATGTTCTGCGTCATGTTCAACTTTGTCGGAGCCTCCCAGATTTCCCTCTATATTTCTGCGTTTGTGCTAGGTAAGAATCGTAAAATGATCCTCCTCCTATGTTTGATCTTTTATGTAGAAATGATTGTGCCTTGTGCATGAATAGATCATTAAGTGTCTCTTTTTATTCGCTCAACAACTTTGATTTTATCTCGGGCAGGAACGGAGGTTTTGAGTAAAACAATGCGAATACTCTTCACAACTCTCGGAGCCTTCCTCTTCTATTGCATTGGGTACATGACACTACCCTGGATTGCATACGGCATCAGAGAATGGAGGACTCTTCTGGCAGTTCTGTCCTCAACTGCTGTTGTCTACATCCCTCTGTGGTGGTACGTCACTCATAGTTCTCATTTATAAAGTCATATACTGACAATCTGCCAATAGTCAAACTCCTGGTTTAACAACATGATGTGATAATTCAAATATATATTTAGAAATGTAATGTTGAATCTGTATCGATTGTGCAGGTTCATCCCAGAGTCTCCTCGATGGCTGATCACCCAGGGAAGAGTGGAGGAGGCGGAGGCCATAGTGAGAGAGGCTGCACGGAAAAATAAGATTGAAGCCCCAGCTGTAATCTTTAAAGAATCTGAGGTACAGTTCACATATTGTCTGTAAAAAATATGACTGAATGTTTGTGACATGTTTAATTATAATGTCCGTTTGCCCCCAACATTTGTCTTTTTACACATGGAGACAGTAAATAAAGTGTCACTTATAAATGCTAGCTGTTGTTATGTCTGCTTCTGCCTAGCCTAAGCTGTTTCAAAATTACAAAAAATGAGTGACATCCCTCTGTCAAGTTACTAATATTGCAAATTATTGCTTTAGACAAAGACGTTATTCATTGATTTCTTGACCCTGGCACCTTAGTTAGTAATGATTAAAATAAAAACAACAGTTATCACTAAAACAATGTTGGATAGGTAATCCCTATACCCTGAAAGAATACAAATAATTTAAATGGACTATTAACATGTTTAATATAGTCTTTGTTCAAGTCAGTATAATGTAATGTAACCACATTAACTCTCTCGTTGCAATTCTTTCCGTCACAGGCATCGGCACAATTTAAGAAATACACCATGCTTGACATCCTAAAATCCAAGAAAATCAGATGCATAACTTTGATGTGTCTCATTCTGTGGTAAGTGTTAGTTGTTTTTAATAATTTTTCAATTACATAACGGTAACAAAATTACTACTGCTATCTAATTATGGGAATATGCATGTAGTGAGTTAAAAACTCAAAGTGACATAAAATGTACAATCTAACCCTGCATGTTATGTGTTTTCTGATCATTTGTTTTTTTCAGGATGGCAATAAACATCGGGTATTTCGGATTGTCCCTGAACACCTCCAACCTGAGCGGCAACCCCTTCATGAACTGTTTTTTATCAGCTACGACTGAAGTCCCTGCATATGTCGTTTCAACTGTGCTTCTAAAGAAGTGTCCGAGAAGAGCACTTCTGTCGTCGTTCCTCATCATCGGAGGAGGAGTTCTTCTTCTCATCCAGTTCATCCCTGAAGGTAAGATTTCAGACTAACAACCAAGCTACACACACACACACACACACACACACACACACACACACACACACACACACACACACACACACACACACACACACACACACACACACACACACACACACACACACACACACACACACACACACACACACACACACACACACACACGACTTATCACACATTAGAATTGCCTGTCTGTCATCATAAAATCTAAGATAAGATAGAACTGAATTTATCTCTGTAAGGAAATTGTGCTGCAACAGCTAGTGCAAAGTAGGAAGGGGTACACATATTTCACCTAAATTACATACATATGTGATAATTTGCTCAGTATTCCCTGGAAAGCTCTGCTGCATACCATATTACTGTAATTGAGTAGAATTTGCTTGTGGACCTTAGAGCATTTAAAAGTAAAACTTCAACAACTTCTCTTTTCAGACATAGTGTCTTCGTTACTCTGGGTAAACAGCAACACACTATGTATAGGTTTTTCTTTTTTTAAAGTGTGGTATGTTGACTATCCAGAGTACGAGAAACACATGTCCCTGTTGATCTATTAAAAATGTACAAAAACAAAAGGAGAACAAATTATAAATATAGAGTAATACATACATAGATTGCTGTATGAAATAATTTGTACTTTGGGTGAGTTGACTCTAATAGAAGCTGCTTGTTAGGTGGCGCATTATGTGTTTAGAGCATTCTCCCACCTCTTAAGCTAAATCAACAATTTAAACCCCTGTTGGATTAGCTTGAAACTGCATCATCACAAAGTTAAACCAGGATTGTTCTTCTTCTGAGCCCATACAACTTATATTTTTAAATACTTCAAAAGATTCGAACAGGACTGCAATGCTACAAAAATGTTATAATTGTATTGAAATCTACATCACTGCGACCTTTGTTCAGTCATAAATGTCATCGTTTCCTAAGAGGAGATCATGTTCAACGTGCAACACAGGGTATAGGTTTATATAAGAGGGGGCTGGTTGTGCAAGATTATGTCATGAACCAGGGGCATTTCCTGGACCTGGAAACATTCGGGGCTTAGCCCACAGTGGCGGCGCCAGAGACTTTCTTTTGGGGGTGCTGTGGGGTATCTTGACATTTCATAGAGTGTGCTCAAACATGTAGGGTTTCCCATTAAGGTACCGGGCGCTACAGTGGAATTTTCTACTGCAACACTCCCCACACGCACATACACAGTACACCCTCGATAATCAGCTCACGGCATATAGGTGTAAGCAGGGGTAAAGTGCTATTTTTTACAAGTGGGGGGTGGACCTAACATCCTCTAGGGGGGTCCGGGGGCATGCTCCCCCGGGAAGATTTTTTTTTTTAATATTGAAGTTAAATGCATCAATCTGGTGCACTTTGAGAGCAAAATGAAGAGATCTATGGATACATCTCTCAACACAAGTGACGCTATGCAATTCAGATTTTTGCCGTACCTGCGTACCAGTTATGTGCACCCCTGATTATATTATTGAGGGAGAATTGTCCGGGGCTACAGAAAAAACATTCGGGGCTTTAGGCGACACCACTGTCATGAACTCAGAAATGTGCAGTTTGCAGTTTTATCACATGTTAATTATTCTCTAAGCACCTAGAATAGTGGACTCTGGATTAATACATAAGTCACATCTGGAGAAAGTTGCTGTGTTACTGATGTTCCCTTGAGACAAGCAAAGAAACATCTGAAATGTACTTTCTGTCATGTTTTTAATATTCATTAGTTAAGTATTTTAGTGCTTAGAGTGTGCTACAGTGCAGTAAAGAATGATTTTATCATGTTTGTGTTTCACCAGATAAAGTGAAGCTACATATTAAACAGACCCAGTTTCCTATAGGCTTAGCAAATTGACCCTTGCACAATCACCAAACTGACCTATGGGTTCAAGAAGGTTCAAATAAAGAATCGGTGCTGATAAGATACCAGAAAAGACAGTATTCAGGCCCTTTATTGTCCCTCTTTCCCAGAAGGGACAATAAACATCTGAACTGAGGTCAAATTGCACAGTGTTTAGCTAGTTATTCCCAAATGAGATCATTTATATTTCTTTAATGCATAAGACTTCTGTTCGCTCTGCTTGGGAGAAACTTGATGATTTCATGTGACCCCTTTTTTAATATGTCATGTATTTAAAAAATATAGAAATTAGAAAATTCATTCATAACTCACTTCCAACATCCTCTCTTTCTCCTCCTCAGATCTTCAATATGTTGCTCTGGCACTGGAAATGACTGGAAAGTTTGGCTTCACCATGGCCTTCAGCATCATCTACATTTACACCGCTGAGGTTTACCCTACTGTACTCAGGAACGTGGGCATGGGGATGTGCTCCTCTGCGGCACGCATCGGCTGTCAGGGTTGAGCGAAGCAGGCAGGACCCAAATGCAGATTTAACAGAAAATACCTTTATTTCAAGCTCTCCCCCGTGAACACAGTCAACAACAAACAAGGATCTCACAAAGACTAACAGAAACGATAGTTACGGCTGTAACTACGGTTCTATGAGTCCCGGATGACCGCCAGAGGCGGTGCTTTTAGCACTGGATATGTCCATCGTGCGCATGCGCAGCTCGAGTACCAATAACAACAAAGTCACCTGTGACCCACGTGACACCGGCTATATCAGCCGGTGTCGTCAGAGGATCTGTTCCCAGAATCTTCTCGCGAGCACACAAGAGTTCTGAGTGGACAGGAAACTCTGGCGGTCATCCGGGACTCATAGAACCGTAGTTACAGCCATAACTATCGTTCTATTTCGTCCCTACTGACCGCCAGAGGCGGTGCTTTTAGCACTGGATGACTTATACCAACCATGTCATGAAGAATCCAAGCCCTGGCTCACTACTGGAAGCAGCGGAGCTCGGCAAAAGGACCACGCCCAAAGAATGGGGAGTGGCGACATTAACCCGATAACTGGAGAATGTGCCAGAAGACGCCCGCGACGCCGCGGCGCAGATGGTCTCCAGGGGCGCCCCTCTCAGGGCAGCCCAAGATGTTGAGATGCTCCTTGCAGAGTGGTATCTCAGCCCAGATGGCAAGGGGCGGCCACTGGCCCCGTAGGCATGTGAGATGGTATCGACAACCCAGTGGGATAGCCACTGGTAGAGGGCACACCTCCTTTAGTGCCGCTATGGCAAAAACAAGAGTTGCTCCGACTGCCGTATACAGGCAGTAGCCTCGATATTCGCCCTTCTGGCACCCACAGGGCACAGCCACTTCGACGTGCCGTTCTCCCGAATGTCAAAGCGTGCCAGCTGGGCAGGCTGATTGAAGTGGGTTTGTGGAAGCACCCTGGGCAGGAATGCCAAGGGCAACACCTGAGAGTCCCACCTCGGGCATGTATCGTTTATGGAGAGGACATGTAACTCCCCAACTTGCCTCCCTGAGGCCATGGCAAGCAGAAATGCTGCCTTCGTGGGCAGCCACCAAAGCCAGGGGCTCGAAGGGAGGAGATGATAGGGCATCCGGCAGCAGGAGCAGGTCCCAAGCCGGAGCCCTCGGGGTGCTAGGGGGACGCTGCCGTAAAGCCCCTCTTCAGGAAGAGGGACACCGACCTGAGGCACCCCGCCGTGGTGCCGTCGACCCGAACATGTCGGGCAGAAATAGCAGCCACATAAATTCAGAGTGGAGTGAGAACGTCCACTATCTAGAAGGGACTGCCGTCTGGGCAACAGTGTACCTGCTGTCCCAAGGAACATGCATATTCTTGCCCCTCAGTTGGGGTAGAAAGTACGTGAGTGCAAGCTGCACAGCCCGAAGCTCTAGCACGCTGACATGGCGTGCACCCTCCTGGGCAGACCACTGACCCTGAGCGGTCCTGCCCTGCCGCACTGCACCCCACCCTAAGAGACATGCACCTATGGTGACGGTCTCCTGGCAGGATGGGATGGCGCCCATGGGCACGCCCATCAGGAGATAGACCCTGCCCCTCCGGCGTGACAGGGAGTGGAGACAACGCTGCAACGCTCTGACTTTCCTGTGCCTGTGCCACTTGGCCTCCAAGAGAAGGCTGATCAGCCACATCTGCATGGGGCACAACGACAGCGGGCCTAAGGGCCCAACGGCTGAGGCAGCCGTCAGTCTGCCCAAGGGCCGGAGGAACTGAATATCAGGCACCCTCTTGCCCGGCCCACGAGGAAGTAGGCATCCCTAAAGTCCACGGTTGCAAACCACTCCCACTGTGCATGTGCTGCGGTCAGCATATGGAATGGCAGCACCTCCAGGAATCTGTCGATTCCTCTGAGGTCCAAGAGCAGGTGAATTCCGCCGACTTTCTTGGCCACGAGAAAGTACGCAGAGTAGAACCCCCTGGGCTAAGCAGAGGGTCTACTGGCTCGATTGCCTCCTTGGGCAGAAGGACGGACAACTCTTGGCTAGAGCTAGGGCATCTGCCGGATCGCTGACGACTGTCATTTTGGCCCGGCCGAAGGCTAGGGGCCGGAACTGCAGTTCATACCCCTGGGTTAAGGTGAAAACCACCCAAGGGCCGGAAGTACAGACAGCCCAGTAGCTGAGCTGCTGCTGGGGGGAGGCCGGTAAGGCTCTGAGGCACGAGGCCGCCTAGAAGGCCGGCAGCCGGGGGCACAACAGATGAGTGGGCCGCTGGGACCTGCGCAGACCACCACTGTAAGCTGGTGGCTGAGTGCGGCTGCTAGAGGGGCCCCTGGGCCTGCTGGGAGTGGGCACAGGCCTATAAAAGACCCGAGAGCTGCTGCCTGGTCTGCCTAGCTTGGGCAGCACGCTCCAGTGCCTACAGGGCAGCTGCCCCAAACAGCTCCCCTGACTCGACTGGCACACCCCGGAGGACATGTCTCCGACAGTGGTGACTAAGCAGGCCAAACCTGGCGACGAGTCTGCACCATAAGGACATGACTCGTCCCAATTCCCTAGCATTAGAGCAAAGGCTTGCAGTGATGCATCACTGAGGCCCAGCAAATAAGGCTCAGCCGGAGCCTGCTGCAGAGAGGTAGAGACAGCCAGTATCAGATGGGAGAGGGAGTTCCCGTGCCGCTGTGTCGTAGGCCTTACAGAGCAGCTCGTTTGTGACCCTGCACTGAGGCCGAGGGCGCCTGGCATTCGGGGCCAGAATCGGGGAGGTGATGGCAGGCTCAATGGATGGCAAGCGACCCAGCCCCACCCTCGCCGGATCCTGCATGGCAGCAGAGTGGGAGAGGGCCCTGGTGTGTCTCTAGCATGCATGGAGCTCCCTCAGGTACTCCTCTAAAGGAGGAACAGTGGGAATGAAAGGGGGCAGGGTTATGCCTGAAGAAGGCGCTAGCCTGGGTCGGCCTGCGGAGCCTGAAGCTGCAAGCGTACCAGGGCCGCACGAATAATGGCCGCCATGGAGCCGTCCTCCGTGCCCTGCAAAGAGCTCTGAGCAGAGGAGTGGGGAGCCTCTTCGGGGGTGAGCGGGCCCCTGCCCCCCCCCCCTTTCAAGAAGAGGTTCAGCCGGAGCCGCTAGCGACATGGCATCCTCAAGCAGAGGTGTGGCAACCGAAGGCGGGCCAGGCGGCAAGCTAGTAACCCCCACACCGGCCCCTGGCTGAAGGGCCAACAGGAGCGGCTTTGTCTGCTCCATGATGGCAGCTAACCGATCCACCTTAGGGGACAGCCCACATGAATGAGCCATTCTGTGGGTAGCCAGATGCAGCGTAGCCGGGAGCGGGTGCGGGAACACAGCCTAAAGATGTGTCAAACAGTGGGGTAACATGTTTCAAATGACAGCACACTGCTGCTTGTTGGCAGGCTGACTCACTTCACTTGTCTCACACACACCCAGGGGGAAGAAATATAACACTTGTACCCAGGAATAAGTGTTTGAAAGGCGGGGAAAAGTTGTTTGAAATAGTATAATATCTCCAGGGCGCATAACTGCACTTTACAAGCCAGAAATAATGTTTAAATGGTCGGGGAAAGTATTTTTAAATGTCTGGAAGAGAGTTTTAGACAGTCATTTTGCACGAAATCATTTAACATTGACGCTTTCCTGAAAATGCACAGAATATGTGCTTTTTCAGGAGACCGTCAATGTTAAATGATTTCGTGCAAAATGACTGGCTAAAACCCCGGAATAAGTGTTTGAAAGGCGGGGAAAAGTTGTTTAAAATAGTCTGATACCTCCAGGGCGCATCACCAAAAATGTACAAGCCAGGGAAGATGCCTGAATCCCGGATACTTTAGGTCTGTCACTTAGGGTGACCGCACCACTCCGACGCTCCCGAGAGCGGACGTCCATTGTTTGTAAGGCACCTAAGAGGGACTAGAGAAGGGAAATGAGAAGGGATTTGAGAAGGGACTTGAGAGGGGACTTGAGAAGGGACTAAAGAGGGGATTAGAGAAGGGACTTGAGAAGGAACTAGAGAGGGGATTAGAGAAGGGACTTGGAAAGGGACTTGAGTAAGGACTTGAGAAGGGACTTGAGAAGGGACTTGAGAAGGGACTTGAGAAGAGACTAGAGAAGGGACTAGAGAAGGGACTTGAGTTGGGACTTGAGTAGGGACTAGAGAAGGGACGACTTGAGTAGGGACTGGAGATGGGACTTGAGAGGGGACTTGAGAGGGGACTTGAGAGGGGTCTTGAGAGGGGACTTGAGAGGGGACTTGAGAAGGGAATTGAGTAGGGACTAGAGGAGGGACCATGGCTGCTGGGGCCGGAACCAGGGCCTGAACCATGGCTTCTGGGGCTGGGACCATGGCTGCTGGGGCCGGGACCATGGCTGCTGGGGCACGGGCTGGAATCATGGCCTTGCATTTCCTTCCATGCTGCCTTGAAGCCTTGTGGAGGCTCAGAGGTCCTCCAAAGGCCAGACGAGACCCAGCGAAAGGGTCCTTGAAAGGAGCCTTGTTGGGAACTGTGGCAGGCAGGGGGCTAGCATGCCAGGGGCTAGCATGCCAGGGGCTAGCAGGCCGGGAAACCGGTTTGACCTCAAAGCTACCGAAAAAGTCCTCCACCCACTCGGGTAGTAACTCCCTTAACAAGGGCCTCAAGGTTACTTCTTGGCGTGCCGTAGAGATGATAGACTGCCTCTCTTCTCTACTGGAGGCGTATCGACAGTCAGCAGGCAGGACCCAAATGCAGATTTAACAGAAAATACCTTTATTTCAAGGCTACAAGTAACATACAGAGCTCTCCCCCGTGAACACAGTCAACAACAAACAAGGATCTCACAAAGACTAACAGAAAAAACAGAACCTAAATGCACACAGGACTAATGAAACAAACAAGACACAGGTGAGGAGGGAGGAGAAAACACAGGGGCACCAGGTGAACACAATCAGGTAATCAGGTAAGAGGGAACACACAGACAGGAAGCAACAGGCAAGACGGGGGGGTGAACACTTTTCAAAATAAAACAGGAAACCAAAGACAGATCTAGACAAGACAAAACACAACACAGACAGATCGTGACATCGGCAGCATCACAGCTCCTTATGTCATATATTTAGGTGAGAAGATGAGTATATTATCTCACAATGTATATAAGACATCACTGCATTGACATTCTTTATGAGTCCAAAAGAACATCTGCTTTGGATAACATCAACGACATGTACACATTTATTGAAGTTTTATTTATATTCAAGTAAAATGGTGTCTTTTTATAATGAAGAATTTTGCTCCTTTTTTATTTTCAGGTAGTTATAATAAGGCTCTTCCTTATATCCTCATGGGAAGTCTCACAATTGCCTCATCTGTTGTGAACCTTTTCCTTCCGGAGACCCTCAACAGAGATCTTCCAGAAACAGTGGAGCAGATGCAGGAATGTCAGGGGTAAGTTCATTCCACTTAAAATCCTGTGTTTTTCATGTTACTATTACATATTTATTTTTGAATCAACTTTATTATTATTATTTGTATTATTTATTTTTTTATTTTTTTTATAGCAGGCTATGGTTTTCTTAAAAAATGTACATTTGGTTTTAAGATGTTTTTTGTATATATTTTAATACCCTATATTTGTGGTAGCTGTGTTGCTTAACTGCTTTTCTTGCAGGCTCCGTAGATGTTCTCAATGACCTAGTTTCCCTTAAAGAAAGAAAGAAACAGAAAGTGACAGTAATACATTTATCATGCATGACGGAAATCTGACAGATCCAAAAGTCCACTGGCAAGAGTTTTTTTTTCATCCTGTTTTCTCCTGTTTTGTTTTCAAACAGTTTTTTTTTGTACTCAGTTGATGCTTGCTAATTCGAAAAAAATGTTTTGGCAAAATTCCAAGAGAAAAGTTTAGGTTCTAAAATGTATGTATGAAATTGAAGTACATGTTTGATTGGTATGTGAGTCTGTGTTACACAATACTTGAGATTAAAATATAAACATTTGAAACCACCATGCCATTATCAGTTGTTTTTTATTTAAACATAAATAATTATCTTAAATGTTTGTTTCTCAATGTGTTCACGTTGTTGCTTTCAGTGAAAAATAGGTTTGGAGCATGCTGTGGTTGAAACACTGGGAACATATGGGAACAAAAGCACTCTCACATGCCCGAATGATACATAATAAAAGGCAGCTAGAAACAGCAAGCCTCGCTCTGTCCAAAAGGAACAAAATACAACCTCTACAGCTCAAAAATCAACATGTATTACCAAACTTATTTATCAATTATAATACAATTTACCTTTATGTAAACTGGGACAAGTGTCCAAATATATCAAATTAAAAAGACGTTATATGTCCGAGTCTACCATGCACTGACAAAAATAGTAGAGGATTGATTCCCAGCAGGAAGGTGTTCTGAATACTTTGGAAAAGGAAACATTTTATACCTTTAGGAGTTGACATGCAAACTAACACTGATCTTTATGGTTGTGCCATTAAATAATGTCCTATTCGGCAGTGACTTTAACCTGTTAAGCCCAAGAGACCCCGGTACCGGGGCCCTCCCGCAACATCTTGCAGGAAACAGTGTCTGAGGGCATGTTCATTTAATAGACTATGAATGTTTTATATCCATGTAATGGGAAGACACTCATCTTACTGATCATTTGTATTTTTTTTTCAAAAAAAAACCCCACAATGCTAACGCTGAGCCTCTGAATTAGCAACGAGCGAAAAATGCTAACAGATTACTGCACCGAAAATCACTCATAAAACCTTATTATTGATCTTTTCTGCACATCCAACACATCGATTCACATCGTGATATGACACAGAATCGATGGGTACATACATTATCACTCTATGATACGAACTCGCGACTTTATAAACAAAAACAGACATCAAAACATGTGGCGCTAGGTAGCTAAAAACGCTAACATGGCTTACCTGTGTCGTAGTCTGGTCAAAAGTGGTCTTCAATGGCATTAAAACGATAAAAACGCTGCTGAAGTTAATCCATAGGTTAATCCAATGTGTCTGTGTGCCTTTGAAATGATTTCTGATAATCCATAAGCAATAAAACTGCTTTTCCGTTTCCAGATGTTAGAGCTAGAGTATAGGTTCGCTCTGATGCAAAACTGCATGCGCGAAGCCCCCACCTTTTTTTTACCATGTGTGTGTGTGGGGAAATCCCCCTTCGATTCTATTGGCTCTAACGGTCAGAAAGAGGTGTCAACCATTAAAATCGACCAAGGGGGGCCAGAGATATGGAAAATCCACCCAAATGACCCCAGAAGTGTTTTTTTCAACCTGGTCTCACCAGAATGCGTGACTCCACCACGACTCCTTAACACCGCATTGCGTGGTGGAGTCACGAACTTTGCTACATTTACGTGTCTGCACCACGCAAACAACCCCAATGTAAAGTGAATGAGGCTCCTTTGTCGTGGTGCACACACGCATTTCTACAACGTCCAGCAGTGAGCTTTTATTCTATAAAACGTTTTTTAAATCTACTTTATAGCTTGTAGTAACTCACAGGAGGCTTCTTTTATTTTATTTGTATTCATAATCATTTTTATTTTTCGTCAGAATGTATTATGGTGCATTATTCACCAATGTTTGTTCTCAAAAAACAATGCATTGTGTGTAATACAACTGTGATTTTTATTAAATTAGTTCGTTTTTAAGGAAGGCCAGAGCTTCAGCTGTGTCAAAGATATTGTTCCCTTTAGTTAACGTTATTTAAAAGATAATTATATTCCTATTTGATTAAGTCCCCTTTATTGTATTACGGACCCAAAGAGCTGAGCGTCCATTCCCATTGGATAACAGAGCATTTTACACCCGGAAGTAAGTATTCTCCTTACTGTCCATTGATTTTATTTACAGTGATATCTGCACTACTCATCAACTCAAAAACACCAGATTATCCTTGTTAATTACACAACATTGATTGGTTTAAATTGTGTGCAATGCTTTTGTATTTTCCCCTTTCGATTCGGAGAAACAAATATTTGTTCGTAGTGTGTGGATGGCAGAAGGCACTACACTACCCAGAATCCTCAGCTATAGGACTACACCATGTGCTTAGAACGTGTCCTATCCCCCCCCTTAGGTCACAGGCTCCTCCAACAGTGCAACACAATAAAACAGATAGGCTACACAGAACAAATAGTGCAAGTAAATACAAAAAGAAAAATAGTAAAATAGTAAAAAGTGAAATAGTGCAATAAGAGTCTATATACAAGTGATTGGAATATGATATATTAGATAAATAATTTCTAAGTAGCAGCCAGATGAATGTTATGGATGTTGTTTCTAAGTTCAGGTGTTTAATAGTCTTATGGCCTGTGGGATGAAACTGTCCCTGAGTCTGGTGGTTTTAGTCCGGATGCTGCGGTACCGCCTGCCAGACGGCAGCAGACAGAACAGTTTGTGGGGTGATGGGGGTCTTTTATAATCCTGAGGGCTTTCTTTAAGGTTAACCTGGTATTTTTACTCCACTACATTTATTTTAGTTACTTTACAGATTTGGATTAATGATGTGAAATATAAACAACCCTTAAATCAGACTTTAGTTACACCGGAGTAAAATTCAGTGAATTCAGCCAACAATCAGGCGAGATATTTGGTAGTGGGTGCTTGAGAAGACTAAATATGTATCTGCAGATCCCTAAAGCATATTCATTACTCGTTATTCTCTACTAATAGTTCATTAAAAACTGTATATAATGGCTATTTTGCACATCCCTTTCAAGATTTCAAGATTTTCTAAGGTTTATTGACATATCATATACACAACTACGGTGTAGTTATGCAATGAATGAAACACTTGGGTCACAGGTTCATCAACAGTGCATCACAAGACATCTATCGATATCTGTGTACCTCCACCATTAAACATATTCTGCACATTTCTTATACTATCTACATACATCTTATAAGAGTATAATTAATATGTATAATATCAGTTAAAATAAGTGCTTCAACATAGTTAACATTGAAGGAAAGTTGATTGTCAAGTTCCAAAACAAACCATGCAATATATTAGACGTTAAGTACTTTGTCAGGCTTAATATCTGTAGATACCCCCAAAGCTTTTTTCTTATTTAAAAGACGACCTTAACCTAAAGTATTCTTTAATGTTTAAATAAAGCCTTATAAGTTTGTCTGTTTTGCACATCCTCCTATCAGGCACTAAACTGTTTTATTGTAGAGATCACTTACAGTATCTTCTTGATATTTTCTATTCTATATTATTTATATCATTGACCTTCCACTTTCCCACTATATTAAGAGTATGTACTCTTAATATTGAAATGTTTTCATCAAATATAACACATTCAAAAGTGCTTTACAAAAATGAAAGACATTAAGAAAAAGGCATTTTAAAACAGTCAATAAAAAGCAACCCAATCTACCTGCATTGCATTACTCTAAACGTGTAATAACGTGCTTTAACCAGTAGGAGGTGCGGGTTAAAAAGCTGTCAAGTTTACAGTGTTAACAAAATAAAATATACTGCTGTTTCTGGTTTAGTTTACGACGGATATATTCTGTTATTGTTTTGATATTTGTAACACAAAAGCGATGTAAAAAACCCACAGCAACACAGAAAAGATGGTCTTAACATGACCCAGCGGTCTAGTAGTTAATAAAAAACAATAATATCAAAACAAATTATTACTACTAACTTTATTGTGAAATTAAAATAGAACGGTAAAAGAATAGTTTCCGGTCCATTCTGAGGCCCGATCTCTGTAGATAAATAAAGAACTACGACAGATGTGTAATGTTTAATGCAGCCAAACCATTCATTACAATGCATTCATGTGATGACTTTCAAAGAGTAAAGCAAGCACTGCTGAATAAAGTATGATTTGATCTTTGACGAAACGTTTTTTTCATTGGAATGCAGTTGGAGGTCAGCTGAGGATTCTGGGTAGTGTAGTGTCTTCTACCATCCACACACTCCGAAAACATATTTGTTTCTCCGAATCGAAAGGGGAAAATACAAAAGCATTGTACACAATTTAAACCAATCAATGTTGTGTAATTAACAAGGATAATCTGGTGTTTTTGAGTTGATGAGTAGTGCAGATATCACTGTAAATAAAATCAATGGACAGTAAGGAGAATACTTACTTCCGGGTGTAAAATGCTCTGTTATCCAATGGGAATGGACGCTCAGCTCTTTGGGTCCGTAATACAATAAAGGGTACTTAATCAAATAGGAATATAATTATCTTTTAAATAACGTTAACTAAAGGGAACAATCTCTTTGACACAGCTGAAGCTCTGGCCTTCCTTAAAAACGAACTAATTTAATAAAAATCACAGTTGTATTACTTACAATACATTGTTTTTTGAGAACAAACATTGGTGAATAATGCACCATAATACATTCTGACGAAAAATAAAAATTATTATGAATACAAATAAAATAAAAGAAGCCTCCTGTGAGTTACTACAAGCTATACAGTAGATTTTAAAAACGTTTTATAGAATAAAAGCTCACTGCTGGACGTTGTAGAAATGCGTGTGTG